CGTCTAAATTATCACATACAAAGTGTCTAAATTATCATACTAGTAATATTTGCATGATGAGACAAATATATCTCAAAATAAATTTTCTGGTAATTTGCCACACGCGTTTAGGTGACATATTTATGATGACATGACAACCATAGTTAGTTTCATTCAATCCATTAGAAAGAAGGATTTTCAAGGGTAAAAGAAATGATGTATTTTTTTTGGATTGGAACTTCTTCTCGTCCTTTCTTCAATTTGACGGTTCTTTGTTGCTTGAGCTCGAAGAATCTATGATCTCCAACAATGGAAAAACCCAAATTTACTAGAAGTAGCCCCGAATAAAAAGGTTGCTCTTTTCTTTTACTCTAATTTGAAAATTTCTTCCTCTAATAGTTTGAATCATAACTATGCGACATAAGCATAACGTAACAAATCACATGAGTGGTTGTCAGAATAATTGGGAGGATAATTTATTTTTGGGGCTTATTTGTCTCAGGAAGCAATTTTAAATAGGGAAAAATGCTTCCAGCCCCCAAAACTAATGAAAACAAGCTTCCCCCTCCCAAGACTTTTTCAACGCTCTCAAAACCCCCAAATTCGTAACAAATATGCACTGAGCCCCCAAAACACAAAGACCAAGAGTATTAAAATTTGAAGACCATAATACCCTTTCTCTCTCTTTTTCTTTCTTTATCTGTGATGATTTGAAAGGGTTCCTCCGTCCCTTTCCCCGATGGCGGCCGTCATCATGTCCCTCAGCAGGGTCCCCACCTCCGCGATGAGATTGCCCCCTCTGCCGTCAACCTCGCCGTCACGAGCATCGCCCCGCGCACCGGTATCCTCCCAGGATCCACATCAGCCTCCCCAACCTGGGCCCCACCATAGTAAAGCTGGAGAGAACGAAGCATAGTTAGGGTTTTTGATGAGGAGGTCGAGGGTCATGTTGAGCTCCACGCGGATGGCCGGGAACGTGACACGTGGAGAGACGCCGGTGACGGCGAGGATGAGCAGGAGGAGGTGATGAGCAAGAGGAGGATGACGAAGTTTACGGCGGCGGTCGTGGTGCATGTGCGTCGGATTTTCAAAACCTGGATTTTGTTTTAGGTGGTGGGCACTTGCTGTGAAGCGTAACCTGGATTGGGTGATACTATTCTTTCATTTCAGCGTCAGTCTCTCGGGATCCCTTCTAATTCTGAGTCTAATTCTGGTGAGGATTCTGCTGATGGATCAGGCTCTTCTGATTCTGGAGGTGATGGTGATGATGATGGTGGTGATGGTGCTGGTGGTGACTGACTTGAGTTTCTCTATGTGATGGTTATTTTTGTTTTTTTTTAATGTTCTCTTTTGGAGATGATTGATTTGATAACTCTGTTTTATTTGAGTGTAATAACTCTATGATACTTTGTGGAACAAACTATGTATGGTTTTGTGTGATTTTTTATCTTGTGGACAAATCCATGGTTAGTGCAAAACTATATTGCTTCTAATGCTTATGTGATATTTTGTGGCCTATTGTGTTTAATTTATTTCTTTTATAAATCAATGCATTGTTGAAACAACATTCATAATTTGATGTGCGGTAAATATTTGTTGCCTGTCATGAGTTCTTTGCACTGTTTAGGTTTTGTATATTTATGCAAATCTATGATGCTAAAATGATGTTTTGTTTATCATGTTATGATCAATGCATGGTTAAGACTATAATCATGTTTTTGTTTATAGAATTTGAATTACTTGTATTATTTATGCATATGTTTGATGAAAAGTTGTTGGTTTAGCTCCTGTATGTATGTTCAATAAATGTCACTTAGTCTATTTGACAGGGGGAGCCTTTGACATACAATTCTTTATTTTTTATCTATGCTTATAAGCAGGGGGAGTATTGCTCCTATCTTTCATTTTTCCCTTTTTGATGTTGTCAAAGGGGGAGAAAATACCACATATAGCTTACAAATTGATTCTTTTATATATATATGGTCTTGTTATGATTTACTCTTGTTCTTGGCTTATATGTGGATTATCAGTATATATTTCATATTCATGTATAAATTGTTTGCCATCATCAAAAAGGGGGAGATTGTTGACCCTATAGTTTTGATGATGATTTGACAAACAATTTATTACTAATAAGTTTTCTAGTGTTTTGTGTTTATGTTCTTTTTTCAGGTATTTCAACACGCGTTAATCAAGCGTTAAAGATTCAAGTTCATTTGCGTGGATTTACCTAGGTATATGTTAGTTTACTTACATATATAGTATGATTATATCTAAGCTCAATATATACACTTAACACGATTTTTGACGTTTTCTATCATATAGATGATTTTTCATTAAACGTTGTTAAAATACTTTATCTCATGTTTACAGCTCCTTCATACTTCACTATATACATATATTATATGCACAATATATATATGAATATTTACAAGTCCTATATCAAAGTTCACTTTCATAAAAATTACAGGTTTTCTAAGCATTCTTCAAAAACAGGTAGTTTTCACAAACGAAAATTAATTTTCCAGAAATTCTTTTTCAAACATGTTCATTTCATCATTTAGAAACTTTCCCCAAAGTTTCACTATTTTTGGATGTGATTTGATATTTTTAACGAATTTTCAAAACTGCCCAAAACCTGTCAATTTGTGTATATCAGATTTCGGTCGACCGGTACGGTCGACCGACAATTGTTCTTTTTCTTAGCATAGTTCCAGAGAGCCTTTCGGTCGACCGCACCGGTCGACCGAGAGAATTTCCGGTCGACCGAAAATTCCGTCGGTCGACCGCCAGCTCTAAACCCTGTTTTTTGAGTTGTTTGTGCTTTCCGGTCGACCGGACCGGTCGACCAACAAGTGGTCAAAATGAGCCTAACGGCTAGTTTTTCAAATGGACTTTTTGGTCTTTTACTTATTTCTAGCTGTTGTATTGGGGTGCTATATATACTCCATTGCTGCTCTTCTTCTCTTGCGGTGGTTAGGTTTGGAGAGGAAGGAGGATGTGACAATGGAGGGTATTATGGTCTTCACGTATCTTAATTTCTTGGGTTTTGTGTTTTGGGGGCTCAGAGAACACAGAGTTTACTTTTGGGGGTAAAACACACGTTGAAAAAGTCTTGGGAGGGGGAAGCTTGTTTTCATTAGTTTTGGGGGCTGGAAGCATTTTTCCCTTTTAAATATCTTGTTATCGCTGGAGATAATTCTAATACCAATCTGATGAGTGATATTACTTTTAATATCAATCTAGTAATTTAGCCTATATCTAGTTCATTGAGATGTATATTGGTCTTTTGAAGTTATATTTTCTTGGCACATGCGGAGTTGTTTGAAATATGTGTTGTATAGTTTTGTTCATTTAAAGTCACGTGCTGGGCACGTGTAGGGTTAATGTTGGGCACATGAAGGGCTATTGAGGGGTATTTTGGCCATAGAAGGCAATGTGCCTGACACGTGAATGGTTAAGATCGATGATGTAAAAATTGGGTGCAGGGTTAAGATTGACGCTATTGAAATTGTGGATTTCTTTGGAATAAACCCGGGGGGCTAATTTGACTACACATCCTCTCAGAACCAGCCGCATGCCACAACTTGGGGAGCAAAGTATCGAATTATCCCTCCTGTTTTGCACATGCATGATCAGAACCGCTAGTCAAAAATGACACTCTACTATTAAGGGATGTTCGTTTCGCAAAATAATTTGGGAAATCAAATAATAGGAAACTTATTTCCTATAATAATTGTTTTGAGGTTGTTTGGTTGGTTTAAAAAGAAAGAAAATTATAGAATAGGAGATGAGATGAGATGAGTTGTCACCTTATTATTGGATGATGTGAGTGATTTTTAAAAAATATATTTTGAGGTTGTTTGGTTGGTTAAAAAAATAAGGAAATGAATTGGAGATATATTATTGGATGATGTTTTGAGGTTGTTTGTGTTTGGTTTATTTTTAAAAATAAAAAAATAAATAAGATGTGACGAGTTGGAGGTATATTATTGGATGATGTGACGCATACTTAAGGAAATCAATTTCTTTTTTTTAGGAAACGGATGGAAAAGAATGTTTAATGAGATGAGATGAGTTGTCACAATATTATTTGATGATGTGTGTGATTTTTAAAAATGAGATAAGATTAGATGTGGTGAGTTGGATGATGTGACACATTTCTTGTGTTTGGTTTATTTTTAAAAGTAAGAAATGAGATGAAATGAGATGAGTTGGAGGATAAAAATAATATTTTATTAGATGTTGTGGGTGAGTTTTAGGGATGGAAATAGATAAAAATATTATTTTATTAATTTCATTGTACTGATTTCCTTTTCTTTGATTTTAGGAAACCAACCAAACGGGCCCTTAGACCACATATTCTCTCAGAACTTCCTGCGTGTTACAAATTGGAGCGGAAATTGTCAAATTGCCCCTCCTGTTTTGCATATGCATGTTCAGAATCGTTCACTGTTATTCGGACAGTTCTGATGTAAATGGTAGTCCTACCGTTCTTATTGTGGACTATTTGCTTTATTAAGGTGGGATTGCATACATTTATCAGATCAGTAACATTTTATTCAGGTGACCGAAGAGATGAAGAATGTGCAATAGCACTTAAAAACTCCAGATGTAAAAAAATCAGGTAACATTTTAATATCTGATCAATAACATTTTGTTCCTAGTATTTTAGGTGTTCAAATTAAAATTTATTGATATTTTATATAAAAAAAATGTTATGCGTTTACTTTTCGCACGAGCTCTAAAATCTCAGAACCGGCCCTGACGGGCTCGTAGGGACACAAACAAATTCCGCATGCTTGTCCCGTGCAAAAAAAAAATAACGAGCCACGTAACAAAAAGTACCGAGCGCCACACTCTGCTCTCTTTCGGCGATCTTATCAACAGGAGCATCCTTGCTCAGTGCTCACCCAGAAGGGCCAAAACGTACTGAAGGCTGAAGCTCATCCTCTCCGGTGGGCCCCACCGCTGAAGGCGGGAAAAGAAGAGATGCGTCCACCCTCCCAACTGTCTTTCGATTCTCCTCCTCCACAGATCCATGATCCCCACGCCCCTCCCCTCTCTATTTTAACCTAACCTGCTCCGCGGGACACCGTACCGCCTGGAAACCATAACTCGAGCCGTTATTATTGCTGCCCCCATTAACTTACTGCCACGTGTCCTAACGCATCAAATCCTGCCCGCATCTTGCTTTGTCCCCGCGGGGCACCGTATCGTGTTCCGTGCCCTGGCAAATTGAGAGAGAGGGAGAAGGTGGTGGAGAGCGGGTGGGATCGGATTCTCGCTGCGATTGGGTGGAGGTGAGCGGATGCTTATTTAGACGGGAGAGGATGCGGATCCCTAAGAGGCCTCTTGCTGCCTTCTGCACCTCCTCCTTCTCGTTTCCCGCCTCCAGATCGCCTATAAATACCCCGGCCTCCTCCAGGTCTCTGCTCTTCTACTCGATCCCCAATCTTTCCCGAAGAGGTAACAGCTCTTCCCCTCCTAGTCTAATCCTAGTTCCAGATTATCTTTATTTAAAAATAATTAGGGCTCGAAATTGTTATACATCCTGTTTTTTCCCCCTAATTTCAAAAGATCAATCGTATTTTTCTAAGAGGTAGCTGTAGTTCTTGATTTTATTTATTTATTTACGAATAATTAGGGTTTCGTCTTCTTCTAATGATGATTCTAGTTTAGTTCAAGAAAATATTAGAACTCATCCTGTTTTTCCCTCTCAATCGAAAAGTTTAAAGACCGTTAGTATTCTGTCTCATTTAATCGCTCTTTTCCCTCTAATTTTCAACAGATTATTACGATTCTACACCTATTGTGTGCGGATTAGAATCCTGCGTGTATTCTCGTTCATTTTTCTACTAAATAAATTCTCAAGATTACTGCAGAGGTCGTTTTCTTCTGTTCTTCTCTTTAAGTTTTCATAATTTAACTAGTCAATCTGCTTGATTTTATGTATTATTGGACTATGTTAGTGTTGGATTCTTTTGGTTTCCAGGTTGTAGCTTGCTGATTGCTGTATAATATAGGTTCTAGTGTGTTAGTGTTGGATTCTTTTGGTTTCCAGGTTGTAGCTTGCTGATTGCTGTATAATATAGGTTCTAGTGTTAGTAGTATCAGGACAGCTTCTGTTGTTGTTGATCAGGATGTACTTCTAATTCTAATTCTAATTTTAATTCTAAATTATCAGAAAGAAAACGAGGAACCTTTTTCTTCTGCTGATGATTCTAAGTTTTCTGCAAGAAGTTAGCATTCATCTATCCTTTCATTTCTCATATTTTTTCTAACTCAAAAATAAATCATTAGGACACTATATCACATTGCTCTTATTTGACTCTTTTTCTAACTTAACAATAAATCATTAGTACACTGTCTCTCTTTTGTGGATCAATATTTGTCTTCTATTCCGGCTCATTTTCTATCAACTCTTAAGATTCCTTGAGAACTCTTCAATCTCCATAATTTAGCTACTCAATTTGCTTGATTTTATGCATTATGATTGTTTTAGTTTCCATGTTGTAGCTTGTTGATTGTTGGATTCCATAGGTTCTAATGCTGCTATCAGGATACAGCTTCTCTTGTCTTAATGCTGCTATCAGGACACAGCTTCTATTGTCTCCAAGAAGTGTTTGGAGGAAGTTGAGATTGGAGAGAAGAGCTCAGGTTTCAATATGAGTGGTGCTTGTCCTAATTCTATTTTTCTTTAGTTGGAAAATTTTAGGGCTCGGCTCTTCCTTCTTCTGGTGGTGGTGATGCTAGCTTTACTTCCAAAAAATTGTTGGAACTCATCCTGTATTAATTTGAATCTTTTTATTTCTTTTTCCTTGCGAACTTTAACTGATAATACTTTGCATCCTCCTCTTATCACTTTTTTTCTCCTGATACTCAAGAAAACCATTAAAATCTACTCTCTCGAGAAGATGGGAATCCTGCTTCTATCCTCACTCATTTTTATTGAACTCGCAAAATTCCTTCAGAAGCCATTCTCTTCTTTCATTCTCTTCAAATTTTCATAATTTAGCTTACACAATTTGCTGGATTTTATGTATCATACTGCTTTATTAGCATTTGGTTATTTGATTTCCATGTTGCTAGTTAACTGGTGGATTTCATATATTATAGCCTTCAATCTACATTTTATTCCATGTTGTAGCTTTTTTAATTGCTGGATTTTATAGGTTCTAGTGCTGGTATCAGGATTCAGCTGCTTGGTCTCAAAGAAGTCTCTGGAGGAAGTCGAGATGGGAGAGAAGAGATCAGTTTTCAACCCAAGTGACTCTGGCTCTAGTGTTGTTGATCAGGATGGGTCCACATGGTCCTCGGCGAAATGGGGTCAAGAAATTCCAATTGGGAAGCATATCTTTTGTAACAGGTCTTTGAATATGAAGAATGTTGTTGCAGTTGGGTTTGACATGGATTACACATTGGCTCAGTATATGCCAGAGACATTTGAGTCCCTGGCTTATAATGGCACTGTCAAAAAGCTTGTCTATGACTTAGGATACCCCACCGAGGTTTGTGCAGGGATACATAGTATTTTTTGTATAATTAATGAATTTTATTTCTGAGTTATTTATTTATTTGCCTGTGAGTGGTTTTTTTACTTATGTTTTTTCAGTGTTTCCTACGTTCTTTGAATCTCGAGATAAGTCCTTCGGCGCAGAAGGAATTCTTTTAGCAAAAGTACATCTAGGGTATCTAACATTTTAAACTGTTGAAAGGGATTCCTTGTCTGATTTGTTATGACATATTTGTTGGACATATATAGTGAGGTAGATTTGGAAACTCCCACTGAGTGAGAAGTTTCTTCTGGGTACCTATTTGGAAACACAGATAAATGATACTTTTGATGTAAGTTTGCGTCAAACATTTGTGTAAACGTCTTTCTATACTATCCTATAGGACCGGGCTCAAATTGCAAATGAGTTTCCTATAAGCTGAGTGTCTGAATTCTCCTGGAAAATCGTACTTTTACAAGATAGGCTAAGTATAGCTTCTGAGTTCTGACTTGGGAAGAATAGGAACTAATTCAATTCAATAGCATAACTTTTTAAGAAAGAGAATTACGTAGTGATCTATGCTATGCTTATGCTGTGATAGTTACTAAACTTTACATATTTGATGCTATATGTACAAATGCTTCCCCACAGGTGATATCTTACATGATAAACCTTCTGCCATTTATTTGAATTTGATAATCCAATTATATATGTTCGAAACAATGCTTTGTTGTATTCTCTTATCATTTCATTTGAATTTTCTAACCATGGTCCTGTTGAGCCATCATAACTGAGCACAAAACAGATGTAAGATTTTACATTTCTGTGCTATCTCATTTGCCGCTTCTTTTTTCATTGCTTTCCAAGGTTTCTTTCTGCTTAATACAACTGACCAACTTTTGCAATCTTCTACAAGATTGCATTTTTCCTTTAGAATGCATTGGCTTAAGCTCCAGTTATTACACGCTTCTTGTTAGATTAAAATGTAAGGAAGTTTTTGTTTGCAAGCGAAAATTCAGTGTCACTTACTTTCATCATCTCAGAATTTATTGACTACGATTGCATTAATAAAATTAGTTAAAAATTGGTGAACTTTGCTACATAATATGCTGTTTGATGTTTATTAGATCATTAAGGTATACTGTTCTCACTATGTGCAGCTACTGGAATGGAAGTTTGATTGGGAATACATGGTCAGGGGTCTTGTTCTTGACAAGAAGAGAGGCAACATACTGAAGGTTAGGCTTGCACTTTGCAAAGTTGTATTTTTACGTGTTCTGCGGTGATGAATTTATTGCATTTTCACGTGTTATGCGGTGATGAATTTATTTATATATAGTTAATGGGCCTAGGAGATCTAGAGGTAGACCTAAAAGAATTTGGTTGGAAACAATTAAAAAGGACATGATTATGATTAACTTGACGGAGGAGATGTCCCATAGTAGAATGGAATGGAATGGAAGAATAGGATTCATGTAGCCGACGCCAAACATTTGGGCTAAAGACTTTGATTTTGTTGTTGATGGTGTATTTATTTTTCCATTTCATGCTTTCCACGCATCAATTCGTTGAATACTTTCCACTGGCATGGTTGGGGCTTTTCACATCTTAAAGTTGAAATAGTAATTCACCTCTTTTTCTATGAAGCACCGATATTCCTGATCATAAGGGGGGTCGTGGGGATGGTCCAGCTTGTTGAGGCTATAAAGAATACTATGGATGGAACGAATTTCACAAAAAATCTCTGCGGAACTGACACAGTTTATTAAGAGATACATTTAACATATTCCAGTACTTTAGCAAACATTGGTTGGAAGTGATCAATAGGCTTTTGTTCATTGAAATTACAATTTTTGCTGATGGTATCTGCCTTTTTAAAACTTGGTTGTGTTTAGTGTTATGTGCAGAACGACAATATCCTTATCCTAAATCAAGGGTACTATATGGATTCTTCTCTTCCATTATGTCCCCTCAATTAAATTAGTCACTATCATATTCTTATTAATTGCTTATGCTAAAATTTTCTTTAGGCTTACCTCTACTTCTCTTGTTTTATGAACTACAGCCTTTTCTTATTTGGTGTATTATTGTCCCCTGGTGTACATGCTCAAGTTAGCTCAGTCAGTTCTTCCGTAGTCTATTATTAGTAGGAGCAAATCTGTAATTCATATGCACTCATTTCATTTCTTGTCATATCTCTTATTGTATTTCTGCAAATCCCTCTTAGTTTTAACATTTTGATATACATATTTTTTAAACATGTTTCTTAGTTGATCCATAAAGTTGTACCTGTCCTTTAGTCATCCTGTGCTTCATTGGTCCTATATACATCCTATTGAATTTTCCTTCTATTCATGGGCTTTTTGAAACCACATGCACGCTTCTACTTTAACCATTTGACTTTCATCTTGCATTATCTCACCTTCCTCAAGAGTAGAAGGTCACTCTTAAGGTATTTTTTTTACACCAATTTGTATTATACACGTATTAATTCTCACAAATTTGCTAAAATTACATTCAATACATTCCATTTTCTTTCTATTAACTTAAAATCCTGTAGATTCCATAGCCTGTTTTTCACCTCGCTACCCTTTCTAAAAGCTTCCAACCAAAATACTGTGTCACCATAGCACCATGGACCATAAGGCTTCTTTTTGAATATGCGCATTCATCCATAATGAATGCAAAGAGAGAAGGAATGATGCTGATCAGTGGTGTAGACTATGATGGTAGGGTACGGTTTTATCTATTTATTCTCATCTTAGTTGCCATCATGATGTACATATCTCTTGATCCTCAAATAACCTATCCCCCAAAAAAAAAAAAAAAAAAAAAAAAAAAGAGAGAGAAAAGAAAGAAAGATAAAAACGCACAAAAAAAACCACACCCACCCACCCACCGACACCCACACAAATCATCTCCCTAGAAAGTCTTACTCTAAGCTTTTTCTAGAGGTAAAAACCTTGCAGAGATCACTTCCCTTCTCCATGTACCACAACACCAAGTAAGGTTTTGGACTTAGATGTTTCTTTCTTTCTTAATCTTTCCTCAATTTCTCTTTTTCCATATTCTTTGTGTGGTTTATCTCTTGATTCTGTGATACTTTTGATGATTTTGTATATCTCCTATGTTCTTGTATGTAAAGTGCTAAACTACTAATTCTATGTATCTCTCGTATAGTTCTAATCTTCAATAAGAATATATCACATTTTCCAGATCTCCCAAATTTTATTTTATTTAGAGAACCCTTAACCTTACCAAGCCAGGTTTTTCAACAATACCTACAGTTTATACTATGAATTGAACTGTTTGGTTCTACCTAGTATTTTTCCGTGTGATTCTCATAAAAAGCAGATGACCGACTTGCAAGCACATAAATAGCAGCAATAACTCATTTGGTTGTTTTCAGATGGATCGGCACAAATATGTTAAAGTAGCATATCATGGCTTCAAGGAGTTGTCCAAGGAAGATAAAGTTGCAGCTTATGGGATCACATTGACAAGAGATTCATTTGATGAACCAGACTATGCTCTTATAGATACACTTTTCTCTCTAGCTGAAGCCTTTTTGTTTGCACAGCTTGTGGATTTCAAGGATAATCATCCTGGAAAATTTTCTTCCGAGACAGAGTAGTTGTCTTTAATGCTTAAGAAATTTGCATTATATGAGTTATTTTCTCTATTTCGTATCACCATATGTAAGTAATTTGCATTGGCTTTTTTAGACTTACCACAATTTCTTATTGCAGTTATAGCCGGATGTATAGAGATGTAAGAGCTGCAGTTGATTTGTGTCATCGTGATGGAACATTGAAGCAAATGGTTGCAAAAGAACCTGGGAGGTATGTTGTAAAAGAGATGTTTCATCTTTTAGCTTGGAAAGATATTTATCGCCAAGTAACATTTGGCCATTTAGATCTCTCTTGATAAAAAAAAAATTCAAAATTTAATGAGATTCTTCACAAGCATATATTTATTTATTTGTTTGTTTATTTATTTGTTTTTTTCTTGCATGTCTATCCTAGTTTTGTATTTTCTCAATTGTAGAATGACTCTACAATTGAGAAAATACAAAACTAGGATAGACATGCAAGAAAAAAACAAATAAATAAACAAACAAATAAATAAATATATGCTTGTGAAGAATCTCATTAAATTTTGATTTTTTTTTATCAAGAGAGATCTAAATGGCCAAATGTTACTTCTTGTTTCCACCTTGTACATTTCCCCCTTGTATATCTGTTTTAAAATCATTATTGTGTTTTTGTTTCTGTATTGTATTTTAATGCTTAGAATGGTAGCACTAGCAGATCTACCTTTTTCTTCATACAATATACGCTCATACAATCAAAGGGTTACATTACAAATTTGTGGGACCGCCAAAGAGTGCAGACAGCAGTTGCCTTAGGGACTTTTGCTACATTATGTTGAATCATTTCGCAAGTTGGAAAAACATGAGCTTACACCACCAATGAGCATCTTCAGGGCTTTCCTAGCATCCTGATTTTAGAAGAAATTGAGATGGCAAAGACTGCTACAGGGAATTGCATATTTCTAGGGCATAAAATAAGCCAAAATACTAAATTAACACGTTCTAATCCTTTTCTTATTACCAATCAATTTATGAAGTTATAATGATTGATTTCCTTAGTTGTTTCCTCTGATAATTTTGACTTTAATTGGTCAGGTATATTACTGAGGATTTGGCAATTGTACCTATGCTTAAGATGCTACGAGACTCTGGACGAGCTACATTTTTGGTGACAAATAGGTACCTCTCTTCCTTATATGCAATTTTATCATCTGGAGCATCTTCTTATTCTAATAAGCCTTCAATAACGAACTGGACGTGTCTGACTTATGAATCTACTGCTAGACGATAAAGCATGAGAGATTCTAGCATGCCTCTTAGAGTTGAATGCTTATGACTGATGTATCATATGTCACTGTGGATTCTGATTCTGATTACTGTCACGAGATTCTCTTTTTGGTCTCTTTTTCTTTGTGGGAGGAAGTGTAGGTGTGTTCCGGCATGCAGGTTTTGTATATATCCTTAGCAGGAGTTAAAGGGAGTAACAGACCAAAACCTAGGTGCATGGTCAGGGGACACATCTTCTTAAAGGGCATTGAAAACCTATTGAATACCAGACTTGATTCTGTTGTAGAATTAACCAAATATTTGCTTTCCATTGACCATGCTATTCTGCTATCATCTTTCCTTTATTTTCTGATGTTTGTCATGCAGCTTGTGGGATTACTCAAATGTTGTCATGAATTTTCTCTGCGGGCACAAAAATTCTGATGGTGACTCCTCTTGCAACTACAGCTGGCTTGAAAATTTTGATGTGGTGATCACAGGCAGGTCTGTATTTTTTTCTTTGGCACCTTGGAAGTTCCTTTTGTCTCCATCTAATGTGTTATCAAGTTTTCCTTACTAATGACTACAGTATATTTTTATATAATTTTATTATTTCTTCTAATATATGTTCTGCATTAGGTCAGAATTATGTTTCTTTCTTTGATGCTTTATGTTCTAGTGCGTGCATGTGTTCACACAGTTCTCTTTATATTGATCTTAGAAAAGGGTATTTGATACTGCATGTTTTTCAGTTTTCTTCATTATAATGAATTCTGTGCGGGCCTCTTGCTTTTATGCACACACACGCTCACACACACGCGCGCACACATGCACTGTGGTGCTGCTTGGCAAAGGGATGAGTGAGGGAATGATAAGTGTAGTAGTAACACTTTTCCTTGCCATATACTTATATATTTACTTTATTATTTTACAAATACACTTATGACGTAAAAGTAGGATGGTAACCTGTTGTTAGTGCAATGAATACAATTTATGCGTAAAGTTACTCTTTCAGAGGAATAACTTTCTCCCTGAAGAACCTTTCACAAATAAAAAATAGTGCTATCTTCACTGACTACTCATGTCCTTACCCCAGTTTTTGTCCATTGGGCGATGGTTATATGCTCTTCTTAGATTAATGGTGAGTGGAAGTTAATATAAAAGAGGAGTAATGCTGTTTTAACTCTTTTTATGAATTTTTAAGAAATGCCATGGTATACCCTTGCTTGATCTAGACAGACCATTGTCAAACACTTTTGATAGAAAAGAAAGGGGAAGCAGAAGAATAAAGCTGACAGGATCCCAGCTTCATTCAATCAATCAATCTCAACAGTTCTGTAATGGATTGTCAGTTCAATCAAGTAAGATCTTATGTAAAAGATCAGGGATCAGAATCAAAACTAGAACCTAAATGAAATATAGGCATCTAATGAAATGATAATGCACACAGATAAAGATACATTTAAACACCTAAAGAAATTCAAAATCCTAATTGATTTCAAAATGTAACAACAAAAGATAAAGATTAGCCTAAATTCTAAATAAATTCAAAATGTAAAGATAAATATACTAATATAAAGTGACGCCAATAGTTGGAAGAAAATAGTCTGTACCCTAAACTTTAAAAGATAATGTTCGAAATCCTGAAGTGTCATAGAATATGTCCAGTAAGTTTCTCTTCGCAACGAAATTGAAAATTTTTATTGTCTTGCTTTATTCTTATTGGAGCTGCATTAATATTTACAGCTGCAAGCCGACCTTTTTTCATGATAACCGTGCAAACATTTTTGAAGTTGATCCTGAATCTGGGATGCTTCTTAATACTGACAATGGCACCCCCATTCCTCAGGTTAGTAGAACGAATATCACATTTTTGTCACCTTCCCCTTCTAAATTCCTTATCCACCTAATATTCTTGCGTTCAGTATTTTTGCTCATTGTTATTATTATTATTATTATTTGTTTTCGTGATAAGATTGGGTGTTCTTCACCAAGGCTACAGAAAAAGGCTTGCAGAGTTTTCCAGGTGTGTTTCACTTGCAGTATCAAATGTTAAACATGATTCTTGATTTGCAAATTACTACTGGTCAATTCTGTTCAGATGCATTAGTTTCTTGTAATTTTTTAATGAAATTAATTTGATCTCTCTGTCTGCTTGGAACTTCAGGGAGGGAATGTAGCTCATTTGCATAAGCTCCTCTCAATTGAATCAAGTTCTCAGGTGATACGTTACTTTATCATTTAAGCTTCTGAATATTAATATTTTAAAAAAATTGTGTATGATGTGTGAAGAAAAATTTGTGCTGTAATTATTTTAAAGTATTCTGCCATTTGTAACTGTAATATTCTGATGTTTAACATTTGGGGAGGACTACATTGTAGTGGGTTTTTATTCTTGGTTTTTTTTTCTGTATTCCTTATTAGAGATAGCATAACCATTAGTTGAAATTTGCTTCAAGATTGCTTCAAGAGCTGGATTTTATATACACCACCTTAGATCCTTTTGATCTTTGAACCACATACATGCTATGGATGAATCAAGAAGGCACAGTTTCCACTGATGGAAACCTTTCGAATTATTATTCACTGCTATCATACTTTCTTCTTCCTGTTTCCTTTCTATATCAGTAGTTACTCTCCTTATATTTAATCAATTCCACCAAAATATTTCTTATGGAAGCTTTGCTAACTCCAGTTATTCTTATTTTTGACTCAAAAGATCAGAATCAACACTAAAGTGAAAAGGAGTCTGAGAATATATCCAGGCTCAATTAGTGGCTGACATGAAGCGACTTTTGGTAGTCATGTATTCTGTCATATATGCATTGCAGAATCTGTGTGGTTAATCCAGGAACTTATTATATTTGTTTCAATTATTCAGATCACTTGTGTGCTTGTTAAGCATGTGAAGTATCCTCTTCAGTAAATGCTAGTATTTGTCTGCATATAAGTACCATATATAGGAAATGCCAGTGCTCGCCTGGGTATTTCACTTGCATTTGAATGCATACCTAAATTAACTCTGTCCATACTGTCATTGAATATTGCCCTTGTTGTCTTTAGTTCTTTCCAGACAATTGTATCACTGATGTTCTTTCACTTCCTTATTTCTTTATCAATCATATTTTGAATAGTTTCAGTTGAAATCTAACAATTAGTCTTGACTGTCTAACTTTAGAGTTGCTAAAACTATGGACCAACACACACATGCACACGCCATGCACGCACACACACTTTAGTTATTATGAAATTGCTTGGTAGGATGTTTACTCCCAAGAAAGATCTTCGCTTGGCATTTTTCATTTCCTTATCTGTTTATTTATCTGTTTGTAATGTTATTTGACCTTATGAAATTTGCCTTTGGTAACTCCTCTTATCTGTAATTGCTTGATTTAATAGTTTTTTTTTTTTTAAGATTAAAGGTCTAGAATGCTTGTCGATTTTCACTTGTGATAGGTACTTTATATTGGTGACCACATTTATGGAGATATTTTGCGCAGCAAGAAAGCACTAGGTAGTTTACGTACTTTTGTCATATATTATCGCTATGCCTCGTTCCAATTTTACATTATGTTTTGCTTGAACATGCTTTTGTTATTGCTCATGTTACCTACCTTTGTACCACAAATTTGTTATGAGTATATATGGATGTCAGAAGTGAAAGCGACATGTATCACATAAATGAAATATAACCTTTCCCATCAAAGTAGTCCTGGTTTTGAAGCTTAATGTTGCATGGAAGAATTGACGAGCCTTTTGATTGGGTGTAAGCCTTATGTTGTCCACTAGTTTATAGAAGTAAAAAACTTTCTTCCTCGTATCCTTGAAGGATAGTTATCAGGAAGTCTTATTCTCTGCTAATACTAAACAGAGTGGTCAAATGCAAGAAACAACCAAAAATAGGATGGGAGCAGGTTCATCTCTGAACTCTTTTTGTTATTTAACTTTTGTGAGCGAGCACTGGGTGTGTTGGGTGAGCACTCACAGCTGTGGGGGTGGGAACGCTGGATTTTTGCAAAAACTGTTTGTTAGATAAATCTTAAGTGCTTGTAAGAAGAATCATGTGTGGAATGCATCATTGTTCTATTACAGAAATTAACATGTAAATCTCTTTTAATATATTGGAGTATATTGATATTTCTCAAATCCTTCTGTTGTAGTGTTAATATTTATTGTCAAATATTAGGTTGGAGAACAATGCTTGTTGTTCCAGAGCTGGAGAAGGAGGTTGAGCTTCTTTGGAAGTTGAGGGATACACGCAAGGTATATCTGAAAATCTTTCTTTAAAAGTTATATCCTTCTTCCTATCTTATTTCTTTTTATTTTCTTTTGTGGGAGGCGAGGGCAATGGCTGGCACTTATAGGATCCACATACGCCATTTTGTTCCCCTTGGAGTGGCAATGGGGCGCTATTGCCAGATAATAATCTAAATGTAGCAGTGTTATCTATAAATAGGATAGAATTCTTATCATTCCAAGACTAACATGCTACTGTTCTTTTTATTTGATTTTTACCAGCTTGTTCCCATTAATATTTGTATTGCCTTTTTATATCATGCTCAGGAGCTTCAGAATTTAAGAAGAGAGAGAGATATTGTTGAGGATGAAATCCATCATCGTAACTGGTCTCTCAAGTAAGTTTGATAATAATTATGTCACGTTCTGTCATCTTGTGGAAATGATAATTGCTGATTGGCGTTAAAAGGTTTTCCATTTGGTATAAGTGCAATACTTCTAAATTTGAATAGATGATTGAAGTTGTTTTATTTAATTTTATGTATCAGATTCTTATTTATTTTCTTTTACATTTATGGGAAAAATATAATAACACATCAGTACTTAAATCTGACCAGAACACTCTGAATTACACAGTGGAACAATGATGGTTTAACTATTCAATTTTGTTTCTATATTATTTGGTATATTTGTTTTTCTATGAACTTTGTATAATAATATGGTTTATCTCAAATAATTTCTCTTATTCAGGTTTGAAGGCCTTCATATTGATGAAAAGCAAAAGTTGCTATCTGAACTTCATAAATTGGAGGTGAGTTTCGTGGTTTACCTACAATCATGAATTTCTTTTAATCAAATGTATGTTTTATTAGACTAGGACTGTGTATATTTATCTGACAATAAATAGGACCGTGCTGACCTTCAATTGAGAACATTTATTGAGAGGTGAAGACAGGCTCGTTACATGTTGTCACATGAAACTATGCAACATAAGTTTGAAAGTCTTAGTTAGGCACACTTTTTAATTTTTTTAAAAGGGGAAACTTTGTCTATTTTTCTTCATTTTCTTAATGCTAATATTTTACTCTCCTGTCAAATTCCATTCTCTATTAAAGTACATTATATAATAATTATTACTGTCAAATGAAAACATTGATATTTTACAATGGGATATTGTAACGGTTACAAATTATTAATATCGTAGATTGCCAGCATGTGCAATGCACTATTAGAATCGTCTCCAGGGACAGATCCGGAAATTGCCCCCCGCTATGGGGGCACATATCAATTATACATATAAATTAATAACTAACATAATATAAATTCTACTAATAAAAAACTTGTTTATACAGTAAACGTAAAGAATCGAAACATAATTCTTTTCATTGTTACTTTCATATCAATACATGATTGTAAATATCACATGGGGGGCACTTATTTAAGTTGAAGTCAATTTCACCTATATTCACCAGATCCATCGAGGAAGAGTTGTTGTCGTTGTTGTTGCTTTTTTTTTTGTGGTTTTTTTTTTTTTTTTTGGGGGGGG